ACAGCGTCTGCACGTAATGCGGAGCAGGGAGCGCATCAGGTGGCAAAGGATCACCTGCAACGCGTACATAATACCAAACAAGAGATGCCTCGCTTCGCTCCAGCAGTGAAGGTTTTGAGGGAGTGCAGAAAAGTGGAGGCTATTACAAATACTATGGTCTAGCATAAGCTGTCTTTTTGGGATTGCATATTCCATTGTAGCACGGTAGTGGATTGTTCAGTACATGATGTGTAAAGAAACCCTTGTAATGAGATCACACATTCTATTGATGTGGAGAGAGGAAAGCCCTTCAGAGAAGGATCTCATTAAAGGTAATATTGGGTGTGGTGTTGCAATCATTGGGTAGTAGAATACATGCATGGTTATGGTGGTGGATCCTGGACAATGTGGTGTACAATTGACCATGAGAGAAGATGGGTTTGGTGAGGTTGATGCTGATGGCATCCAACATTAGGACTTGGCAGCTGTTGAAGGTGGTGGTGCATGCAGGGGCCAGTGGATATTGGCATCATAAGAGGGTGTGGCCAGAGTGTAGGGATGCAGTGAAGGTGATGCATGGGATGAGGATGTCATTACTTGCATGTGTTGTGTGGGCATGGGCATGGATGATTCATATGGTGATCAGGCAGTGGCCAGCAGCGACCATGACAACTCTGCAATTTTTCACCAGTCCCTGGTTGATGGAGAAGTTGCACATCAAACAGTACACACCTCTGAGATGGATGGTTAATGATAGAGGTGGGAGTGCAGGGGGTGTGTGTGAGGTGACATAATCTAACATGCTCTGAGGTGGGATCACCCCAGCTTTGTTGGCTTCTTTCAGTGAGTCAGCAGCAAGGTAGGTTGTGGCAGTGGTGTGTAAGCATTGAAGCATGATGGCATTGTACATGTCCACTTGGCAATTGGTGGGGCACAGGATGGTGCATTTGAGACATGTCACCACTGTTGGAGGATGTTAGGAGGGAACACATGGTCTAGGAGCTGGTCAGTGGTGGCAACCTTGGAGATGATGTCAAGGGGGACATCAGGGCCAGCACTGTCACTGATGCTGTCTACAAAGGAGGCGAAATCTGGGTCTTCAGCATTTCGAATAGGAATGGTGAGGTGGAAGACAGTGACATGTTGCTATTGAGGTGCCAATTGGATGGAAGTGTCAACAATTTGGAGGCATGACCCCCCTGGAATGACAGGGCATGTCTGATGGAAGTCACCAAGGAGGATGACAACTTTTCCACCAAACAGAGCATCTCAGGCCATTATTTGTCTGCACATGTCATCAACACAGGAGAGCACTGCACGGTTTGCCATAGGGGCTTTGTCCCAGATGATCAGGGATGCGGACTTAATGAGATCTGTGCAAGGTGACCCAGGGTGGATGGAGGAGATTAACATTTCATTGTTTTTGTTGACAGGCACCTGTTGGGGAATGAGGGGTTGGAGGAAGGGTTATGGGACAATGGGCTTACTTTGAAGGTGGAATGTGTTGTACAGCTGCCAGGGTACAGTTGTGCTGCAAATGCAGATGTTGCAGTAGGTAATACTATGTGGCCAGGGGCACAGACATGGTTGCAAATAGCGTTAATGAGAAATGTTTTTCCTCTGCCTGCCTTGCCATCAACAAAAGCGAAGAGTGGTTCATCATTGCACACCACATGCATGTTGCTGTCATAGATACTTTTCTGTTCCTCGGTCATTTGTGCTCATGTGTCATTCACACATCTGTGAAGAGAATTACTCTCTGACCCCCACTTGAGTATCTCGTGCATGACTTCTGTACATGGTATTTCAGGTTGAGGGATTCCATAGTCAGCAAGCATTTTACCATGTTCCTCAAGAGCAGAGGCAATCTCAAGCAACACATGGTTGCTTGATAAGGTGTTGAGCACAGAGGTCTGGACAGCAAAGTCTTTACTCATAGACTCCTCGAAAGTCTCCCACAGTGTGAGGGGCTGTGGCATGCAGTCATTGACCAGGAGATGCACAAAGAGATATCGAATTTCACAAGGCATTCACAAGGAAGTCATGGCCTCGACCATTGCATATTCAGCTTCAGTATCATCAGCAAACAAACCTTGGGCTGTGGCAGCTTCCTGGAAGGAAGAAAAAGTTGTGCTGTCGGCAGTTATGGCATCAGTGAAGGAGAGAATAGGTCTATGCTGGAGGATTGTGTGCAGGTAAAACAGTTCACCTTGGGAAGGTTGTATGGGTTCGACATGACTTAGATGGGGCTTGGCCGCATTTCAGAGCATGACATGCATGCAGGGACATCTGGGCATGATAGAGCATTCCTCGAAACCATCACATGCAGGATGATCCACACATTTGGTGAGATGAAACAGGCAGAAATATTCACAATAAGAGAGGTCATTGAATTGATGGACAGTGCCATTGTGGTCGACAAAAGTACCAGTCAGCCAATTGAAATAGTGGTTGAGTAGAGATGCAGTGCTATGGGGGGCATCATTACCCCTGTACTGATGGTGTGAGGTCGACATGGGAAGGTGTATTGGAAATGCAGTGACTGCAGGATCTTTCCCTGTGATGTTAAAACCAAGGATGTGCCACATCACTTCACCTGTGGAGAGATACCTTGCATTCCAGTAGTCATCGATCTTGTCAATATGTTCATCATCAGAGGCCACATTGGGCCAGATGTTATAACAGGTGTGATTGGGTCCTGTGAGACCAGATAATCAATTGGTTGGCAGGAAGCCATGGGGTACAGTACAGACCTTTGTGGATGTATTTGAATAGGTACTGGAAGATGTGAGAGGTACTTGAGACCTCAAAGTTTAAATGGCATTGAAACCCACATAGCAAGGGGAGACAATGTGGGACCACCATCTCATCCCCTGCATGACAATGGTGGTAGTGAATATGTCCATCAGTATTGATGGTAGTTGTTGGCTGTAGGGCATGGGGATAGTGGAAATGATGTAAGCAATGGCCATCTGGTTGACTCCTTTGGCAGTATTTGGAAGGTGGCCAGTCCACAGAAGGGTGGTGGTGGAACATGAAGGTGCACACAAGGTGAGCATCTGTGGGATCATCAGGAATCTCTGTGGAGACCACAGCATCAATGTCTGCAGGTGTGTCACACTGAGAGGAGTACTTCAAAAGGATGTGGGTGTGAGGAAGCCTGTGCTTTTGGAATTTGACTGAATGGATGCAATAGAGCACACAGCCAGCATTGACGAACATGTTTTTCAGTGTTTTGAGAAGGAGGCTGAGCTTGTGCTTGAACACATGAACCACAACTGTGGGAATGTCTGTGAACATCTGTCCTGGAAGCAGTTGAGAGGCAATTTCTGGCCAAGCTGTGTTGCATGTCATGGTGATGAAGAAGGTGGGGTTGCCATAAGCAGCTGCAATGGCAAGGGAGTCTGAGATTTGGTTGGACACCCACCAATGGGACCCAAGGAAGGACGAGGGAAGGTAAACATTCTCACTGGGGACAACATTGTTGACACCCATCAGTTCAGCATCCTGCATGTGAAGTTGTTTCTGGTTGCAGCAGATGAAATTAAGTCTGGTCTCAAGGTTGTGACTGAACATGTCAACAACATATTCATTGGTCAGGTGACTGAAGATGTGAAAACAGTGTTCATGAAGGATGTGAGCTCGATAATGCCAGAGTTGCATCATGGGATGATCAGCAGTGTTGTCAGTGGCAGAGGCAAGCATGGTGTCTGCTCACCACCCCTCGAGTCCCCATCCAAGTGTGCCATGGGGGAACAATAATGGATAAGATAAAGGTTCCCACAACTGGCTTAATGTCGATATTGATTGATTGGAGTGGTCACTGCAACTGATGATAAGTCATCTCAACTTGGTTTGTGATGTGGTCATGCTCTCATAGGTCATCACTGCAGTGATTTTGGCTGCGCCATTGTCATGGAGAATAAGAGATGCCAGTGGGTGAGAGGCAGATGTGAAGGATAGGGAGCGAAGGGCCTTCACAAATGGGTTAATGTCCTGTAGAGCAGCTTTCATGGCATCCACCCATCCCATGGGCAGACTCTCAGCCCAATCTCTGTGAGGCATGTTCTGCATGAAACCATTGTATAGTAGCCATCACACAGCTGAATTGTCATGTGAAGGGCACACACAATGATAAACCCAACCTTGAATGGCCACAAAGCCTGGAGGTCCAAAGTCGTTGGGAAAGGGATGCATGGTTTCTAAGGAAGTGAATGAAAAGATGAGATTGAGAATCCACAATAAGGACAAAATCTGAGGGTGAGTTGTGAGAGCTTCAATTTGAGGAGGCAGGGGGGGGGCAGAGGAGTGACATCACCAAACCAGGAACCATTTGCCCCACACCAGAATCCAGCATCTTCACCAGTTAGAAGATCTATCCCACATGATTTACATTGATGGCATTTGCCATTGCAAACCACCCCCCATGACAGCATTGGACTTGAGATGGCACCAATGACCCATAGAGTACCAACTTCTGTGGGGGGAACCATAGAACAGATATCGACCATGCGAGGGTAGAGACAATGGAAAGCAGAGATAACAGCAGCTCTGCAGCAAGGGCACCACAGCATAAGTACCCTGGCAGAGCATGTCATCGTTCCCACCCATCTGTGATGGATGTAGCACAGTCCACATGTCACTCAAGTGACCACACTTATAGGCAGTGCAGTCCAAGAATGATGAGGTACACAGAGGCCTGCACAGAAGCATAACTATGGCAGGGGATCATGAGCACATGCAGTGTTATCTCATGTTGCATCATGTACCTGGCAGGTGTAAGGCCCCACACTGTTATTGGAATGCTTGCTGATGATGTCAAATAGTCTTACCTGCAAACCTTTTTGCGATGGAGGAGATCAGTGGAGGAAGATGTCAAACAATTGAATGCATTTTGAATGAAGAGTTTGCCTGTTTCGAAATGTACTGGGGCACTCAAAGCCCAATGTTGCAGAGGGTACTTCAGGTTAGAGAAGGAGTAACAGCTCAAGAATGAAACTGATGGAAACACATAGCCCACAATGACCCAGCCAGAAATCCATCTTCATCATTGTTGCCCCCAGTGGGCACTGATGGTGTCCATGCTGATGACACTACTGTTGTGGGAAGACATTCAACCAACCTCACCCTTCCAGAAAAGAGCCACCCACACCATCCATTTCATGGTTAACATTACCCCACAAGCCCCCACTGAAGCATTGGCTGCCATCCTCCTATTCCTTGCAGGAATGGCACACAGCCAAGACCAAGGGCATATTGCAGGTCTGGGATACATCCTAGGCCCCAATGCAGCGATCGGCACACTGTTATGTAATGTGCAAATGCCATCAATTGAATGCTGCTTGGCCTCTATGTACTTTGGCCCTGAGTACCTCATGTGGAGACAGCAAAGGGACTTCATTGCAACAACCCTGCCAGAAGACAATGAAACACTTCTGATGGATGTCAACATAGACCACAGTTTAGAGGTGTCCAGGTAAGTGGAACAACACTACCACTGATCCATGCCAATGTTGTCACAGAGCACTGGGATTCATGATGAACAAAATGCAGTTGTGACATGGAAGTAGACTTGAAGCACCTGATCGATACATAGAGAACCCAGCAGCGATAGACAGCAATGTATCATAGACTCAGCACAGAAAGAAGGGCAATGGCATCAATACAACCTCAGGTAGCAATCAATGGCATGTGATGTTGTCAGAGACAATCACCACCCTCGAGGTGAAGGAAACCAATCCCATCAAACACAAGACTGTCTTCAGGTGGGCAGGGACCACATCATAGATGAAGCTGCCATGCTGTCATAGATGAAACATGTCCATTGCTAAGCAGTCCATCTACAATGCACACTATGTCCATAGCACCTACAACACATGTATTTAAACTATCCTTTAAAAGTCCCACTAAGCATCTCAGAGAGTCCTACACAGAGTCTATGAGGCCAGATCTGAAGTATTTAACAGAAAACCTTGCAACACCACCTCAAGAGTAGCAAATCAAGCCTGCCTACCTTTACCCTTTCCCTTTGGGCCACTCACAGCTGCCTCACCATCAGCAGAGTTCAACACATCCTGAATATTGATATTGTCCACAGAGAAGCACAACAACTCAGGAGATAATGGCATGGGAGGCCCCCCTTCTTTAGTGACAGTGCAGGAAGAAGGTCCAAGCATCAACAGCCCTGAGGAGGCCCCACCACCTCTGGCAGCCAATGCAACCTCATCACTGGAAGCCAACATTGAGCCTCAAGACACATGAAAAGTAAAGGGGATGCATGGAGGAGAAGCTGACACCTTATTGAAGCAGAAGACGCCACTACCCCCACCACTAGCAAATCTTAGTCACATAGCAGCCTGACAACAGCACACTTACTCCCTAGGAGCCTTCAAAAGAAACTTGCACTTTTTCCTGCCAGCAGAACCCATGGGACCAGCATGATGATCTTGAGCACCAACATTAAGCAAAATATGCCTCAACTCCACAGAAACCGCACTCGAAGGTGCAGCCCCACTGAACTGAGCACTATAGAAGACAGTCATGTTCGAATTTGGCACAGGAGTCCTCCACCAGCATGGACACAAACTATCAAAACAGCAACTGCCACAGGCCAATAGTCAGAACTGAGCACCAGCACAACAGCATCACTCACAGTACAGTTGAAGACATTGTCACATCCTGCATGAAATCTGACAACATCATGGGGAATGCCTTTGTGACACCATCAGGCAGACAGATCACACAAGTGGTAACTGTACCAAGTCCAAAGATAAATGGGCACAGGCTATTGGGGATGCAAGCCTTGTACTCTTGCTATTGGGATCCCCTAGGACAACCACAAGACCTGAGGCCTCGAGTAAAATGGGATCGCAAGGGATAGACAGTGGGATGTAAGACCTGGCAATAACATAGGCAACCAAGTCATCTGCGAGCAACCTATTGTTGAAGGGACTGTGTATGCACAGTTGCACAGGAAAAACCACACCTGATGTACACTGCACTGCCATGTCATATAAAAAATGATAGGCCTTCACCCCATTGCTGCCTCTCGTTGACTGCAGATGACAGCCCCCCGAAAGTGCAAAGAAACCTACAACAGTGGTGGTCAACATATCTATAACCACAGTGAGAGCACTCGAGAGAAAACATAGCACACACCACTTTTTATAACCCACCCCCACCACAGTGGCTTTTGACCAACTGCCTGCCCACCTCACATCTGCACAGCCATCATCAGGTAACCTGTCACAGTCTGCATGGCAGCACTGAAAATAACACACCACAAAGTAGCACCGAAAGCCATTGCAGCAGATAATGCCATCACCATGCAGAAACACCAAAAGCTGAAGCATGCAATCTGCACCAGACATACATTAAAGGTGCCATCACCCACATAGTGTAGTCACATTTAGTCACAACACATGGGCAGCCTGTGCACCAAAACACCAACACTTATATAGACCCCGAGATGGGCCCACCTAAATAGATTAGCCAGTACACATGGACAGGCCCAAGGGACTAAAGTGAGAGCAACATATGTACAGGCCTGTAAGTGCATTACCACAACATATGGGAGGGCCTGCAGTGGGTAAGGATGTTGAAACATTTAGATGGGCCTGTGACCAATTAAGTATACTGAGTTGCTGTAAGACATGGACAGGCCCATCCTGGTAGGTTACACCCCTGTTGCAACATCAAGGCAGGCCCACCTATCATAACATGGAGAGGGTCACAACATAAGGATGGGCCTGTCTATGATTAGAATACAAAGTTGGCAACATATGGACAGGCCCAGGAGTAATATCATTTATGGTGTCACAACATAAAGACAGGCCTGTCAGTAATGTCATTTCATAATATCACAACATATAGATGGGCCTGTCGACAGTAAGATGTACTGTTGTTGAAACATAAAGACAGGCCCATCACTAGTATCATTTAATAGAGTCACAACATAAGGTCAGGCCTGTCAGTAGTATTGTGCAACATATGGATGGGCCCGTCCACAGTAAGATGTACCTCTGATGAGACATAAAGATGGGCCTGTCAGCAATCTCATGTATAGCATCACAACATATGGACAGGCCCTTCAGTAGTATTATTTATATTGTCACAACATGGGCAGGCCCAGCCCCAGTAAGATGTACCCTGTCAAAACATAAAGACAGGCCCATCAGTAATGCTGTTTAATAGCATCACAACATAAGGATGGGCCCTTCAGTAGTATTGTTTATATTGTTGCAACATATGCATGGGCCCATCAGTAATATCATCTAATAGTGTCACAACATAAGGACAGGCCCTTCAGTAGTATCATGTATATCATCACAACAAATGGACAGGCCCATCTAGCAAGATGCACCCCTGTTGCAACATAAGGACAAGTCCATGTATGGTATTCTTAGGCAGCAGAAAGGGAGATCCAAGCTATCTACATAAGGATGGTCCATGTAAGGCATTCTCAGGCAGCAGAAAGGGAGATCAAAGGGATCTACATAAGGATGGGCCCATCCATGGTATTCTCAGGCAGCCAATAAGGGAAAACAAAAACCAGTGTTACAACATAAGATGGGCCCATCCATCCATCGCAGGATTACAAACCCTTGGCACTGCATAAGATGGGCCAATCCATCATATCATAGATAGCTCACCACAAATGGACAGGCCTATCCATAATTGGGTTATCCCCCTGTCACAATATAAGATGGGCCCAAGAAGACAAGAAATGAAGAGAGGGGAGCCTCTCACACTATAGAGTATCTGAATTTCCCACTATAAATTGTGTTTCACATTGGATGATTTGCCTATTTAGTTGGAATCTCAGGTGCTGGTTTATGTAGCTGTGAGCCAGGCTCTGCCATTGGAGCAGATGGGAAACATGCAAAACAAACAGCAATGCTATTCCAGAACAATGCATCATATTTTTATCTGAGCCTCTGCTTCATATATGCATTCAGGATTATTGACTTGTACTGAATCATTCATAGGTGGGATAAAAGATGTGACATCCACATATCTTGTTGTCCATCTTTAACCTCTGACTCTTCCACTCTCCAATCACCATCACCACTCTCACCATCAAACTACTCCATCATCTCATCATCAGAAACATGTCATTGTTGTTGTCTCACAAGCTCTTCAAGAAATTGCCTGAGCTCGATGCTGTGGCCAACCACATCCTTCAAATTTACTTCAAGGATTTTGTGGAAAGCAGCAAGCTGGGAAAGGCAGACAAGATTGCGAAGTGCAGAGGTGCCATCAAGATGATAAATGATGAACTAGTGTGTCATAGCATCATCACATTTTTTTCACTAACTGATGCATTCAGGACACTGTACACGACCTCATCACTAGGATGGATGAGATTCTGATGACCCTCATCAGCATCGACAGGTTCTTAAAGTGGCATGAAGACCTTGGCTCAATTGAGCACCTGCAGCCTGAGTGGAAGACCACCCTATCCCCTTCCAAAACCAATGTCACCAACCACAAGTGGCTCGACATCATCAAGTGTTGATATGACTACCACTGGTTGGGCCTCCCTATGCCCTGTGTGGTGCCAACACCAACACCACCCACTCAACAGACCAAAATGCCTATGAGTGACAAAGGAAAATGGAAAGTGACCAAGGCAGAGGTGGAGCAAATAATAGCAGATAGCTTGCACAGGATGGAGGTGGATGATGAGGGTGAAGATGAGGTGCTAGAGAAGGAGGATGATGAGGAAGAACCAGCACAAGGCAGACAGAAGTGCAAAGCTGCCATGAAAACAATGTCCCATCAATCCAGACATTGATCCTGCTCTAGGAAGGCAACAGCAGAAACTGATGATGACAAAGATGTTCCCACTCAAGGCCAATTGAAACACAAGCCTCATCCACTGTTGGATGGACTATATGGTCATGCTGTCATAGCTGCCAGAAGGACACCTTCCCCTGACCCCCATTCCTGCAAGGTGTGCCACAGATGCAAGATCTGATGCTACAAGAACCCTGGGAAGTCCTGCTTCCTGTGTGATGGTTGCAAAATTCAATGTAGCCATGCCAAAGGTGGGATTGCTGCTCCAACTCAATGGAATTCATCATGAGCCAGGGGAAAAAAGCAAGCTCAAAGTCTGTCCCTGATGATGGAGGCCCAAGAATCCCAAAGCCCAAAGGAACATCCCCAAAAGCAACACATTTTGATGGCTTCCAAAGCCATCAACACCAGGGTTGGGCCCTCCAACCAGGGAGAGATGATCCCTGAGGGATCTTCACTCAGTATGTTCACAATTTCGTGTATTTACACTGACTCAAATTTTATTTAGAGATTCATATTCCTGCATTCAAATGCAGGGATTCCCACCCAATCCCAGCCACTGTATGAGTGGATTCAATCATTGAGGCTGGCCCATCCATTGTGCAAGAGGTAAGGGATCTACAGCAGCAGATACATTTAATCACTCTACATTTATGCTAATTATTGTGGTTAACCCTTGTATTCAAAGCAGACCCCCACCCATCAACAACAGCAGCACCTGTCCAACTTGCAACTGCTGCAACTCCCAGCACACTGTCACCCATCTGTGCCCCAATTGCCAAGGTGTTGCAAATGTCCAACACAATCAAAGAGCAAATCAAAGATTTGGAATGTCAACTCTGCAATGCTGAGGCCCACTGCCAATACTACAAGGATCGAATGTATGATTTCCAAATACAACAGGATGACACCATGCAGACACTGGACAGGATGGCTCACAAGCTGGAGGCTCTGTGTATTCAGGTATATGGACGAGCATTGGGTGATGATCTCATCAATCTCTTAGGGCCTCTGGCAGATGAGACAAGGGCAGATAGGACAGCAGGGTGAATGAGGCCATCTATCATTTTACTCCTCCATGGTACATATGATGTCATTTTGAATTTCCATTTTAATTGACCACTCATGCCACATCATATATTCAACCTTTATTTAAGAGTGAGAAAAAGACAATAATGGCTAGACAGCCAACAGAATTGCAAAGGATAATCTCGTTCTACTAAAACAACTGCTAATGTATCCTGATAGGTGGAAGCTTAGCAAATGCATGGCTTTGTGATGTAGAATAGTTAACTGGAAACTTAAAAAATGAGATAGTGGGATGGTCTCATTCTGCTAAAACTGGAGCTGATGGAACCTGATAGACAGAACCTTTGCAAATGAACAGACTGTGTGATATGTGATATCAACCTGCCATTCAACACAAATGCAATTAATAGTCTGATTTGGCCAACACATCTGAGTCTGCTAATATGGCTGCTGATGAATCCCAATAGATGGACACCTGGTGAATGAGTGGGCTATGCTATTTACAGCATTCACTTGAGAGTTACAAAACAAGATAATGGCTAATAATAGGATAATGATGCAAAGAAAGATGTCAGCCTGCGAAAACAGCATTCCATGCATCCTGATAGATGGAACCCTTCCAAATGAGCAGCCTGCACAATATTCAAGGTTGATATGGACTGTCTTGACCTGCTAACATGGCATTCAATGGATCCTGATAGATGGAACCCTTCAAAATGAGCAGACTGTGCAAGATGCAAGGCTGAGAGCAATCAGTCATTGGATGCAAATGCAAAGCAATATTCTCATTGTGCTAACGTAGGATCCAAGGTATGCCCACAGGTGGGACATGTGCAAACAAGCAGATTGTGAGATTTGCAAGGTTCAATTCAGGGAAAACATTGCATTCTGCTATTGCAGGAGCCAATGTATTTCAATAGGCAGAAGCTTTGCAAATGAGCAGATAAATATTTCTCCACAGATGGAAATACAACCAAGGGCATTCAGCCAGTCACTAGTGACCAATTCACCCTCTGTAGTGAGCAATAAGTATTCTGTTGCCCAACAATGGTTTGTTGCTGTTCATCTCAGCCCACAGATGCATGAGCCTTTCAAGACAAATGATATACATATTCATGTCATACCAGACATATCCACAATGGAAATAAAATATGCAAATGGTGAATGAATGGGCTAGCTTGCCACTAGATGTCTCCTGCGAAGTACCCACTGACCTGCCCATCAGCTACAGGGTGGAATGCAAGGGTGGGGAACAGAAACTGCAGGTTCACATTAAGCTAACATT